TGATGGAGTTGGTTGGATTGATGGCTTGTATTAGCCACATAAGTTAAATGATCGAAATAATTTAGGTGGCTCTGTCCTTGAACCAAACGTACGTGCGAAGTACGTACTTAACAACAGTTTACATCAATAATAAAAATAATCAATAGTAGTTCTATACACTGGCAATAAAGTGACAAAAGAGATGCGAGCATTAGCTTTCCAATGATCATTGCACCCACCCTCAAAAATCAAATCATGTACATGCACAACAGTGCGGCAGCTGCAACCTGATCTTCCACTTGATTCTAGCACACAGGTTACAGGTTACACGCCTTGCACACAATATCCTCCTTAAAAACACAATCACGTACGCACACACAAGTGCTGCTGAGTGATCCTCCACCTGATGTCAACCCACAAGGTCAGCCATAAATCTATACCCTTCGATCATAAATGACTCATACGTGACACAAAACCACACCTTTTTCTAAAAAAAGGTTACACACCTATCGCTCCCCCACCCAGAAGCAATAAATTACCTCCAATAGTGAAGCAATTAAAAATCAAAAGCAATAAGCCATTTCCTGTCATAGAATCCCCAATTCCCTACTACTCACTATGTTAAGTGCAGTTAGTGCTGCAGCTGCCATCGTTTGCAGCTCTCCAATTGTGCAGCGATCTCTTTATATATATCTCTCTCTCTCTCTCGATAAATGGGTTCGCTGATCCGCCGGCTTGTGCAGTTATTCTTTCGATTCGCATAACTCTCGCTATTCGAACATGTCAATTTACTTTTGTTGTGAGAAGGATTCAAACCATAACAAAGCTGATATCGTTAACAACTAAACAAGAGCGGCCGAATGCAAGATTAAATGCAAGCATCAGATATTAAAATATGTTGATACGACATACGGAAATATGAGCGAAAATATCAACACCAATCTATCCATGTCTTTCCGTGTGCAAGCTGTCACGTGATTTTCAATTTATTAGTTTTTTTTGAGAATGCGATGTAACCTTTTGCAAATTGGGGTGGTTTAATATTGACCCATTTTGTGACCACAGACCGTTAAATATATGGTGTAAATTTAAAAGAGGATAACATTGTTTCACACATCCATATATACATACAATGCTAGGTCTCAACGGGATCATGCCACATTGCGCCAACGGCTTTTTGGACAAACAATTTCGCAGTACGCAATGTCGTTAGAAAACTGTAGAATATTCAGTTTTCAGTAGAACACGAAACAAGAAAATTATAAATTAACTTTGTTTAAAACCTAAAAAAAATTATTGTAATAATATTTCAAACTTATAACTTAAATTTAGAAAATGTAATTCGGGTCAATTGTCGGAGTGAAGTCGTTGCAAATTAATATACATTATAGAAGCAATAATTCATGATTTAAAGGGATAATATGTGAAAGACATTGGAATTATTTTAAATTTTTAACAAAAATTTTTAAATTTTTTCTCACATTTATAGATGACAAAATTGAAATTTCACATACCAATAATTTTAAATATCTTTCGTCACCTGTAATAAGAGTTTCTAAATACCGAAGGCATCAGAGTATATTGGGTCCGTCTGTATGAACGCAACTTTTTCAACAGACTTAGAGATAGAGATTTGGAATTAGAAATATTTACTGTTGTGTGCTCGCGTCAGACAAAGTTTCAAAATTGGGGTCATACGTCCACTAGGTGGCTAGGAATCGATAAGTTAGGTAAAGCCTAAATCTTAAGAGGCACATGCAACACCAACATCCCCCCCCCACTAAAAATCTGAAACGGATATATCTTGAGTTAAAGACATCAAATCTGGTAGGTATGTTTCTGGCAGTCGTCTTCAAGAATCGATAAAAATGTTTATTATAACGCCTACTCCTGCGTCCGTAATCTCAAAATGCGATATTCCCAAAAGTGTACATTGATAAAAACGCATATGTCCCACAATTTTTTAAGATACAGTCACCAAACGTGGGCGATCGGCATACACATTTTCAGACCAAGCCCACATCTGCCACCCCAAGGAACTTCGGCCCTAGAAATCTGAGCTGCGTAAATCTTCCACAACTGGAAAGCAAGAGTCATCAAATTTTGATTAAAAATTGGTTAGCCACGCACACTCCGCCTCCCCAAATGGATACATTGGTTTGTGTAAATCGATAAAACCTTATACCTCAACTCCCGCAACTTAAGAGCAACAGTTACCAAACCTGGAAAGAAGATGACTAGGACTATTACCCAGCCACGCCCACCAAAATCTGAAGGAAGATTGGAAGCTCCACCAACACTTATTTTTCGGCAACGGCCACTCCCGCCTCCAAAAATCACAAAAACCTATGTCTACCGCAATTAAAAAGACAAACTGGGATAGTAGATTGCTAAGAATTTCCTTTAAATATCGGCATTTTGTAGCTACATCCACTCTGTTCTGTGGCACCTGTTATCTGATGGTATGACTTATGGTATCAGAGTATATCTCATTCAGTTACGCCCGATTACGACGTTGTCACTTGCTATAAACGAGAAGTAGTAAAATATATTGAGAAAATCCAAATCTTTTTCGGTTTCGTTGCTCGAAATTACTCTGTGTTACAACTGTGCATGGATGGGTGATTTCACTTCATGATCATGTTACGTCGCCTCTTTTATTTGATACACTGTTATTCTGAACAGTGTGTTAAATTCAATTCAATTTATGATCAATAAGGCGGGGCAGATTTCATTTACATACCAAGTTTATAAAGAAGCATGGTGCGATAGAACGCCAAGCACTGCGTTGCTAACTTGAAAAACTGGCAATGCTTAATACATAATATAGAAATTTATATTTATTTATACAAATTAAAAGAATAATTAGATTTTTCAAATCTCTAAAATATAGATTTCTTCGCAATTTTTGGAATGATTTTCAGATTGCGAAATTTGTTATTTAATTTGATAACCATATTATAATAGGTAAAATATTCATACATAAGCTAACACGCTCAGTCGGCAAACGAAAATTTCGATTACGACCATGCATAGACGACATGATAATTACACAAGAGCGTCCTGGTATTGGAAAACGCAAATGCCTGTTATGATAGCAACACGAGGCGCCTGGACATATCTTCTGGAGCATAGGACTAGCTCTGATAGTAAAAAAAACTTCTGGATAGATTTTAGTTGGGTTTGCTTGCCAACTAGACTATATAAAATATACGTAAAAAACGTATATTATCCGTACGAGAGGAGTCAAATATCTAGTAGCTGGACGGCACCCTGCTGGTGGTAGCTCATTTCGGCAGGTGGGAGCGAGTTTGATATCATCTTAAAACTTATTTTTTGTTATAATATTATTTACAGAGTCCCTTTTGGAGTCTAATTGTGAAGCATTAAAAAACTAAAATACACATAATGCGTGGCAGCTTCGGTGATGCTGGATAGTTATTTTAGTGCTGGATATAGAATGTGGTTTGCCACATTCGTATAAAGCACTCTATTCACAACCAACCAATTGGACTTCATGCGCTGGCTTTAATGGATGATGACGAAAGCTTAAGTATTCATTCTCAAAATTCTTTTAGAAAACAAGTGAGAACGTCATAGGCGGAGAAAAGAAAATTAAAAATAGAATCCTAGTAATCTGCCTTCCAAGTTTGAAAATTCAAATTGCATGACATATAGGCTTTTACTATTTTTGGGGGAGGGAATGGACGCGGTCCAAATATTTGGTGAATTCAAAGTTGGTGAATTTTTAACTGGTATATCGGTTTTGCGAGTAGGCGTGGCTATTCAATTTTATTGTCGATCTCTTAGGGGAGTTACCAGTTACATACTTTCAAAATTTGATGACTCTAGCTTTCAAATTGTGGAAAATATGCGCATTTTAGATGTATACAGCCGAAGTTACTGAGGGCGGCATGTGTGGGTGTGGTCTGAAAATGTATATGCTGATCCTTGAAGCAGGGTAGCAGTAAGCTACCTTATAAGATTGGTGACTCCATTACATAGCCGTTTATCGTTTTACACTACATAGCCTGCCGTTCAAAGGAGTAGTCTTAAAATATTTACTCTTCCTCAGACAAAAGAAGATTTTCCCATTAAATAAAGTTGTGCGACATTCTTGAATGAATTGAAATTGTGTATTACTTTGAGTTTGGTATTTTAATTTCCATATGCAGGGCTAACGCATGCGCACATAAAAACGCTCTCATTGAAAAGCCGTTCGGGTCTTTTTTTTTATAAAAATAAAAAATTATACGTTGGCAAGGATATTGTTGTCTTTGTTCGAACTATATTTACTGGCTTGGTTACAGTAGCTTTATTTGTTTTATTTCTTTTTGTGGGGGAAATCAAAATATTATGCAAAATCAAAAATAGAAAATAAAAATAAAATATACATGCATATTTATATATCTTGGTTGTTATTGTTGTTATACTTCCAACAGCGTTATCTGGTTTTACTTATTAAGTAACCACAACTATCTTACGGTCGTTTTACGTTTCTTACGTTTCGTTTCTCTTTTTGATTCAGTAATAAATTTAGATGTTAAAGAAAAAGCTTGTTTCATTAATATATTATTTTGCGGCTTTCAATACGCAAAAAAATCTTTTTTTTTTAAATTGTCATTAAACTGATTTGTGATTAAAATTAATAAAATTGGATCAGTATTTTTCCTTTTAAGTATTTATAGTTTATTAAACTGACGCATGCGCAGTCAAACTCATCACAGGTTGATTCAATGAAAAACCTTATGCACTGTGTCACTCTGTAAACTACCCCCGAAATTCTTTAAATGATAAGATAAACCTCACATTCCAACCAGCCACTTACTCGCTAACACAACTACAACCACTGCCTCAAACTATTACACGAAGAAAAATGTAATGTCAATGCGAAGAGCAAACGTTTCGACGCACCCTCTCTGGCTCTCTCTCATATGTATGCAGGCTTCAAGGCTTTGCAGTTATGAGAACTTAAAGGGCCTCTTTTGCACAATGAACGTCGAGCGCTACTACGTTAGTCAACGACGTACGCCTGCCGTGTGTGTTTCACTTCACAAACAGACGAAACGTAGAATCAAGCCAAATGACATCGCGGATGACAAGAAAAATATATTAATTGTAAAAAAAGCGATTGTCATCCTTCAATTCCCTATGTGTGCGTTTCTGTAAAGTGTTAATTTAAACGTTTTAAGAATATTGCGATAACCGTGTTAACGCTAGCAAAAATGCAGATGTTATTATATAATAATTAAAATAGTTGCAAACTAAAAACACCAAGTGGGTCTCTGCTAAAAGTATTAATATAAAGCAGCATTGTGCATATTTCTGAGTGTAAATTGTAACGAGTGCATTTATTTCAGTGGTTAATTTATTGATGCGTCGCGTAGATGCAATGGCAATATTCATCTGAATGTGATTTGTATGATAGCTGAAATTTTACAACCAGCATGACACCCACAACTATCAATAAACACCAGTGAGCACGGAGCCTAAGGAAAGTCGATACCACTTGGTAAGTAATAATTTGAACAACAATTCCACTATTTGTGGTTGTTTGGCATATCGATTTTTAAGCAGTCCAAGTTTCGAACAACAACAAAAACAATACACATACATATAAGAGTGGTCTACTCAAAACAGGTCGACAGGAGAGTACCCTGGACAGAAGGTACATGTCATACATGTCCTGGTTATTGAAACGGAATGCTATAAATTACAAAAAATTATTTTAGCATCACTCACACACAGCGAAAACATACTTGAGGACTAGCGCAGTAACATAAACTTATTTTACTGGACACTGCACCTAATTTTTGCTCATGGACAAAACTGAAGTTACTTAATTTAAAGCTCAAGAATGTAACATAATATGATTCCATTCACTATTTATAAATTAACAACCATAGTGCGCTTATATGTGAACATATACATGGAAAAATTAATGTTTGCTGACATGTGGTTTGGTGAATCACTGTGAACTCCATGAATGTGAATGTCTTGGGCGTCGGGCATATATACAGGAGGAAATTAAAATCTGCTGCGACAAACCGATGGAATATAATAAAATTCCGATAGAAAGGTATTCTTTTAGCTATAAAATTTATCCAGCTAGTTCATGACATATGTTCTATGTATTATTCTTTTTGCGAATGGTATAGATTCTATTTCCATTTAAATACTTCATTTAAAAGTTATTAAAAGGCCAAAATTAAGTTGTATTTCCAAAAAGATATGAATTGGAATATATTTGATTACTTATTTTTATTCTTTGATTATTGATTTTAGATTATTCTTAGAAGACGTTTTTCAAAGATTTCGAGGCAATAACAGACTTAGACTCTCTCAACTAGAGGCCTACACTTAGAGTCGAGCTTAACCGACTGCGGAATACTCAACTGATAACAGCTGATATAGGCCTTTGCTGTCGGAAGTGGGCTGGGGCCGAACATATTGTCAGCTTTGTGGGGGTTGTACTTGCAATATTCATATGGAATTTGGAGACTCTTTCAACGTTTTATCGACTTACTCTTTGAGATGTATTGATATTGGCGATAATAGAGGCAGGAGTTAACCTGTCCATATAATTTTTGTGTTGATATCTAAAAACGGTTCTCAGTAAATTACCTTTCAAATGATTTTAGCTCAATAACTGTGAAAGATTTATTTCCGATTTTTAACGGCAGGGGTGGCCAAAGTACCAACCAAATTAGGTGACTCCTAGTGAACGTAGAACCCCAATTATCACACTTATATATATGTTTCAAGATATATATGTTTTCAAGGGTGTCGAATAATAATAATAACAAAATCTTCCACAATATTAAAACAAGTCACCATAATTTTTTACCAGTAAGCCTCTAGAAATACAAATAAGAAAAAATTGTATACGTATAGTATCGCCCTCAAAATCGACGTATTCAATATATCTAATTAAGCAAATCAATAAGCCACTTATCTCCCACAATTTTAAAGTTATTCTTCGAGCTTCAACATCTAAATTTACCAACCACTCCTACGGCATTTGATTTTCCGTGGTATTATGCAACTAGGGGAGGACAGCAGAAGGTTCTATCATTATTAAATCAAGCTACTGATCTTTTCTTTTTTTTTGATCTTGTAAGCAAATCAGTGTTTAATTTTTAAGGCATGGACTGTATGGTATTTGTTGATAATAGCGATTTTTGTTATGATATGAATTTGTATATTACATGAATATGCATGTCGTATATTTCAACTATATACCCGACTTTCGGTTACGTTTTATACAAAACATACCGCTTTGTAAATGAACTTTAGGTAAATCTCACGAAAAATAAACTTTTAGGCATACAACCTTAAATTAGGTTAATTTCAAAACGCTTTGAACGCAATTGTTAGTGAATTTTCATATTTGGTTTTCTTTAATAATAAAAAGTTTTGTAATAGGCCAAGGAAGAACTGCCGCCCCTAAGCATAAAAACCGATTCGCTCTACCTATATCCGTTCGTCTGTCTGACCGTCTTTTTGAGCGCTATGATCTCAGAAAAGCTTGACACTTCAATTTTCAAATATTAGCCCTTGTCTACAGATTACTTTTATTTCATTTTTTGGTTAACGTTACCGAGATTTAAATGAAAATCGATAATCGAATGACACCAACAAATAATATGATAATATTGAAAGATAATACATATATAATATCGCATTTTTATACCCAGAATCCATTAAAAATGGGTCAAAGGGTATAATGGTTTTGTGATAATGTATGTAACAGGCAGAAGGAAGCATCTCCAACCCCATAAAGTATATATGTATATTCTTGATCAGGGTCAACAGCCGAGTCGATATAGCCATGTCCGTCTGTCCGTCCGTCTGTCTGAACACGTAGATCTCAGAGACTATAAGAGCTATACACTAAAATTCGGAATATAGGTTATCGTAGACCAGGCGCAGATCAAGTTTGCTTTATTTGATCGATAACTGCCTCCGTTTTTCGATTATCGATACATTTAAATTTCCGATAGCAATAAATGCTACAATTTTAAGGGCAGAATCTTCCAATTACTATATAATATGCATATGCATATTATTGATCAACCGCCCAAATTTCATCGATATCGGATACTGAAGACCCAAGTTATTGTCGAAAATATATTATCATATTGATCTCATTTCTATCAGCAGCCTCAAGCAGTAGCCTCTGTATGCATCAATATGCGAAAGCATGTGTAAGAAAGAGATGACATGATAATCGACGTGAGCGTCAATATGTCTGTGTGTATTCTGCAGACCCCCGTTACCCAGTTACGATTGCATGTACGTATATATGTATGTATTTATGTACACATATGCACGTGTTTGTTGCCAGTCAGCTAGGATCAGTTCGGGCTTGTGAATAAAAACATTCGCTGCACGTTTTTTTTACGTTTCAGTTTCTGAACTTGCGATATAAAATGAGTGCACTTGCAGACCTGGTCACATTCGGGTGCAAAACTTATTATAGGGAAATTTGCCATTCGTTTTAGAATATATTTAACAGATGGGTTCAAGGTAAATCGTAGTCGAGCTCACTCGAGTACAACTCTCTTACTTGTTTTTATTTACAAAAGAGGAATTAGAATCAGTCTTGGTGTAATATTTTTGTGTAAACAAATAAATGGTGGAATTGATTCTTCGGAGTTAACCAGCCAATTTATTTTTGTAGTTCCGATCAGAAATACAAGAATTTTCTAATTCTTTCTCTTCACACTCGAAGTTCAAACTATACTATCCATAACCCATTTCGGATCTTGTGCTCAAGAGCAAGTCGTAGTATAGCAATGTCCAAATAAATGAAAATAATAACAACAGCGGGTGTAAGCATTTTCTTTCTGCACATTTATACAAGTGAGAACGAATGAATGTAAAGGAGCCTGTTTAATATGAGTAAGACAGAAATTAATTTTTTCATTACATATTTAAACTTTAAGAAGAAGTTTAAAAAAAAAAACATGCCAGACACATCCATGAAAAAACAATTGTAATACAGAAATGTTAATGCTCTTAGGCTAGCGATATGTTGATTATTATTTCATGAAAATATGAGACTATTGAGTTGGGATTATTAGCATATACATATATAGTATTGGTATTGTATTGTATAATTTAGAAAGTCTCCGTTTGGTATAATAAACTGAAGCATCCTGTAATCTCAGCACTCTGTTGAGCACTCCATTAAAAACTAGTAATATTCGAAACCTCGTTCAATCCTTGTATTCAATTTGTTGGTAATTCTCAAAGTTAGATAAGCCGGCTCGGCTTCTTTCTTAGTTGGCTTGTTTCAAAATCATATTCCTAGCCCAAAAATGTGTGATTCACCAGTTTTGGGAAAAGCACTTATTTAGTGGTAAAAGGTAAAACCGAATGTCGTACAAAAGATGTGAGCGACGCCCCCCAGCAATAGGATACATCCGTTAATTCAGTTTATTTATTTTTCCTTTCTCATGAGACATAAGTACATCGTTCTTATGGACGAATTGTCTTGTATTGAAGTGTCCTCGCGAAAATATATGGCATATCATTCTGTCAACACCTACTGATTGAGATAAAACGTTTTTAATTGTGTCTCTTTGCAAAAGCTTCATAGTCTTTTATGGCGCAATGCACATCAAACGATACAAAACAAATAGACATAGAGAACCATAAGCACACACGCAAGATGGAAATTTTATTTTGGGAGATTTAGATTCAGTTCGATTTCTTCCTCTTTTTTCTTCATTTAAGTTGCCAACCTGCAAAACAGTTATATATTAGTTAAATTCAAATTTTAAAAAATAAAATTTTCGTTGTTTTGCCGAGGAGGCAATATAAAGCTTAAAATATATATTATATTTTGTTTTTTGTTATTTATTGTTTTTTGTTTTTAAGTTCAGGCGGGTGGGGGGGGGGGGGGGGAGTTACCAGTAACATACTTTCAAAATTTGGTGACCCTATCTTACAAATTGTGAAAGATATGCACATCAAAGATGTTTAGGGCTACAGTGAAGGACATCGCCAGCAACCTACAACCAAATTTGATGACTGTAGCCTTAAAATTGTGGGAGATATATGGCTTTATCGATTTGCGGCTATCGATCTTTCTGATTTCCTAGCCTTCTAGAGGACATAGTATCACAATTTTGAAACTTTGTCTTGTTTGAGGTTTCTTGCAATTAAGGTGTCGAAAAAAGTTGCGATCATCCAGACAGACAGCCAGCACGACGTTGCATAAAGCCAATATTCTCTTGAAACCTTCGGTAGCAGAGTATAAAAATGCAAGAAATCTGTGTACGTGTTGGTTTAAATATATAAAACGTGTTCGATTGCTGATAGGCAAAAGGTTGACTTCTGGGTATCTCCTAGACATCCTCTTTCGAAAAGAATTTAATTATTATACTTTGATACCGAAGATGTGTACGTCCGTCTGTATGACCGCAACTTTCTTTGACACGCCAGTTACCTACTCACTACTGTCTGGGAAATCGATAACGATGGTAAAATCAAATCGCTTATAGT